TGTGACCCAGCAGAGAAATGAAGGTACACTGAATGCTGACAGCGACTTTGCTCACGGGGACCCTAGACTGGAAACAGCCTCAATGGCCATCAGAATATGTGAGGAGAAACACAGTAGTAGCATGTCCAGTGTTGAAGAAGTGCACCTGCTGGCTTGATTGGCTTTTCTTAGCTCAGCTTACCTGGAAACGCTGAGATCTTTGGGTAGCTATGTTACCTTAGGCAGGAATACAAGTGTTTTTATGCAGGTGCTCCAAGTGACCTTATAGATGCTGCTCATGATCCAGGGGTCCTGGTGCCACTGTTGCCTCTTCCTCAGGTCCAGCCTGCACAGTTTTCCCTCTCCACCCAGGATAGCCTGTGACCGTCCCTTGCTCAGATTTCACTCCGGGTTTGAGAGTTGCTTCCACAGGAGAAGCATGCCCTCATTCTTGGTTAAGGGCCCATGTCTGGCGAAGGCGCCTTGCTGCCCTGTTGGCCTGGCCTTCCTGGGTGCCTTCTCTGCATTTAGTCTTAAGGACGGAAGCCTGGGCTTGCTTTCCCTTTTCACTTAGGATAAGAAGTTACACCTTGTCTTCAAAGCTGTAGCCCTGTCTGCCCTCAAGGTTCACAGACTGCTGTCCTGACCCTCCTTGACCGTCCAGATGACAGACCTCCTCCTGAACTTAGAGTCCATATAGTCCTGAGTTCTTTTTTTTTTTTTTGAGTTGGAGTCTAACTCTGTCGCCCAGACTGGAGTGCAGTGGCCGCTCCCGGCCACCGCAGCCTTGACCTGCTGGGCTCCGGCGATCTTTCCACCTCAGCCTTCCAAATAGCCGGAATTACAGGCGCGTGCTATCACGCCCGGCTAATTTTTTTATTTATTGTAGAGATGAGGTCTCGCCTGTCCAGGCGGATCTCGAAAGTTTAAGATTTGCATGTGATTTTGTCTGTTGGTTTCTTGGAGCCTCTGTCATCAGTGATGGTCTCGGGGCACTGGGAGAACATTGGTGACGAGGCATCCTAACGCAGAGGAGTGCTGACAAGGGTTTGGGTGGTACATTGGACCCCTGGTTTGTTTCCAAATTGTTAGGACTCTTGCAGCAATGATGTGGAAGTGAGCTGACACCTTAAAGCTAGTGGTGAACAAACAGATGACTTCCAACTGTCTTTACCCTAGGTGACTTCTTTACCCAGGTTCATCGTGGTGGGGTGCTGGGGAGTTGACACCAATACTAGCATTAACTGAAAAGCAAAGCCCCCCACTCCTTTGCTTAGCTGCCGTACTCACCGAAGAGGGAGTTTTCTCATAGCTTTTTTGAGGTCTGATCAGCTACTATGGAATCCTCTCTTTGTTAAGTGTGCAGTTCAGTATTTTCTAGTAAATGTATGGAATTGTGCAGCCACCACCATGGTGACTATCTTTGATTCCCCCCCTCCTTTCTTTTTTTGAGTCAGGTCTCACTCTGTCTCCCAGGCTGGAACACAGTGGCATGGTCACAGCTCACCGCAGCCTTGAACTCCCGGACTCAGGCAACTGAGTGGCTGGAACTACAGGTGTGTGCCACCACGCCCGACTAGTTTTTTATTTTTGTAGAGATGAAGTCTCACTATGTTGCCCAGACTGGTCTTGAACTCCTGGGCTCAAGTGATCCTCCCTCCTTGGCCTCCTAAAGTGCTGGGATTATAGGTGTGAGCCACTGTGCCCTGCCTGATTCCTCCTTCAGTCCTCCTCTCCTCCCCTCCCCCCTCCACTTTTGCTCCTACTGGTCTCTCTGGCTGCGTCCACAGCTCCAACATGGACCCATGGTTTCGTGTCTGACTGGGTTGCGGGACTTCATGCTCATGGCTGTGGTCACATGTAAGGGAGCACCTGCTGTAGGCTGGGCCCTGTGCTGGGCTCAAGCAGGTGACTGAGCCCCGGCCTGAGCGCCCGCCTTAGATGGGTACCTACCTGTGCAGCCCTGTATGTTTGTGTTTACCTCTGTGCTGTCTGAGAGTTGCTGGGCTGATGTCTCCAGCCTGCCCGGGACTCCAGCCCCTGCAGTTTTCTTACCTCCTGGAGGATAGAGAGAGAGGCCCTTGCTGCTTGCAGTTGCACATGCCGCCCTCGCCAGGGTGTGATGAGGATCCCGAGGTGGACTTTGGGAGTGGTGGGAGCCCCAAGGTTCCTGGGGCTGCTCTGTGAAGGGAAAACCTTGGCAAGTGGTGGTCCTGGGGTTGTTCAGAGGGTGCACTTGCCAGGTGGAGGGGGTGAGGGGTGGGTGCGTGGGACTCAGCCTGGAGGGAAGGAGTGGCTAGGGCTGCAGGGCCAGCGAGCAGCACCGAGAGCCTCAAGCAGCTCTGACAGGTGCCGTGGCTGAGCCTGAGAGGAAGGGCCTTAGAGAGCAGTGGCTGGGGGTTCAGGCAGGGTGGCCGAGGAAGGACGGCTACACAAATGGACGGAGGGCCAGAGGGGAGTTGAAGAGGATGCCAGGGTTAGAGCTGTGTACACGTGTCTATGTGAGAAGCACGTGTGCCCTTGTGGGAACTCCAGACTCTCAGCACCTGCCTGTTGTACTGATGCCCCTAGGCCTCCTCCCACGGAATCCCAGACTACAGCAGCCCTGTGCTCTTGTCTGTGATTTCCTCAGGGTCCTTGTTCCCCAGCTGGGGGTAGGCAGCACCCTGAGAGGGCCTTGCAGGAGGGACAGGCCTCCCTGCATGGTGAGCACTGAAGCTGCAAGGGCACATTCTGGGCAGTGGGTCACCACTGGGGACAGTAGGTCGTCACAGGTTTGTGGTTGTCACCATGGTGGAGGAGTTCTCGTGGTAGTCGGGACAGTCCAGCCTGGCAGAGAGGGGCTGTGATACCTGGCTGGCTGTGCTCTGCGGCTTTCAGAGCCAAGTGGCCAATCTGGCAGGGGTGGCAGATCTGGGCTCGGTCACCAGTGCTGTTCATGGTGAATTCATGGCCTTGAACTCTTCTTGCCAGAGGACTTGGAGAACAGGATTCTGCTTTCTCTGATAACATGGGGCTGTGGGTCCTGGGAGCCTGCGGCTGGTGGCAGCACTTCTGCCTTCTTACATGTGTTGGTGGGACAGCAGCTCGAGAGCTGGATAAATGCTCCTGGCTTCTTGTGGACTTTTGCCAGGGTGGCATCAAGGTGTGCAGTTGATTTGGGTTGCTTGCTGGGCTCTGAACAGGCCTTGCTAGGAACGGCGCCTTCATGAGGCCTCGGTGCCTTGCAAAGTGCAGTGGGTAAGCCCACGGTGGCCCTGGGAGAGGTGGTCCCTTATCCGGGGGTGGAGCATCTGCATGCATCCAAGCCTGCCACCTCATCTTCCGCATGAGAACACTGATGATTTTCTAACATGTGAGAAAGCACCCCTGTGCCTCCCTCTCCCTGATTTTTTTGTTGTTGTTGTTTTGAGTTGGAGTCTCACTCTGTCACCCAGACTGGAGTGTAGTGGCTGCTCCCGGCCACCGCAGCCTTGACCTGCTGGGCTCCGGCGATCCTTCTGCCTCAGCCTTCCACGTAGCTGGAACTACAGGCGTGTGCTACCACTAATTAAAAATTAGCCCGGCTAATTTTTTTTTTTTTTTGAGTTGGAGTCTCACTCGGCCGCCCAGACTGGAGTGCAGTGGCCGCTCCCGGCCACCGCAGCCTTGACCTGCTGGGCTCCGGCGATCCTTCCGCCTCAGCCTTCCAAGTAGCCGGAACTACAGGCATGCGCTACCATGCCCGGCTGAGTTTTTTGATTTATTGTAGAGATGAGGTCTTGCCAAGCTGCCCAGGCGGGTCTAAAACCCGCGGGCTCGGGCAATCCACTCACCTCAGCCTCCCAAGGCACAGTATTACAGGCTGAGCCACCGAAGCCCGGCTATGTCCCATGTGTTTTATCACCCTTCCTTCTGAGGTTGAGCCTTATGAATTGGTGATACTTGACCATTTTGACCTATGAAATGTACTCTGCTTTTCTAGAAACAGAAGAGGGCATCTTGCATTGTTGCAGTGCAGTTGTCAGACCGACAGCATCAGCAGTGGTTTTTCTGGATTGCCTAGTATGTGAGGACAGGTTCTTTCCATAACCAGATTCTTCCAGCAGATCCTGTCGAGGTCCAGTGTTAAGGTGATCCCTGTGTCTCTGGCCCTGCTCTTCAAAGCACTCCCTCCCCCTTTTCATCTCATCATGGTGGGGTCTGGTCTGGTTGTCCGGTGAGGTGTCCACCTTCAAGCTTTAGTCCCTCTTCACCCTCTCGCATCTGTCTGCAGTATGGTGGATGTTGTCTTAGACTGGGGCTCTTCGGAGAGCAGCTGATCCCAGGGCTGGGCAGGCAGAGGATGAACTGGGGATGCCTTGGACACTGAGTATCAAGGTGAACCTTGGGGGCCTCTGGCACACTGACCATAACAGGACTGTGGGGTCCACACAGTGCCGGTGAGGAGAGTGGGGGAGAGGGTCTTCCTCTGCATTAAGATGCATATGGAGAGCAGAGCCTGGGGACCACATGCGTGCATGGGGCCACAGGAAGTTGCCTTCTTTGTAGGTCAGAAGTGGTCAAGTCCCACCGATTTTGTGTGATTCAGTCTTAACAGATTAAATGAGGCTAAAGAGATCTCAAAAATCATATGTGGTGGTGATCTGGGTCTTGGATGCAAACCTCTGGAGGATGTCATTGGGGCGCCGTGGTGTGGTGTGCGTGTGTGTGGACCAGCAGCATGGCAGCCGCATGAGGGTCCCGGGCCAGCACTTGCATCATGAGGTATGGAGAAGGCCCTTGTCCTGCGGCCCACGGCTCTGAAACAGGGCCGGACAGTAAAAGGAAGTACTACAGACTCATAGGGAAGGGTGATGGAGGTAAGGGGATGTGTTTTCTGTAGCTTTGGAACTTTTCAAAATCAGAAGTGGAGGGGAGTGTCAGAGCAGCGTCCTTGGAGTGTGGAACCAGTCCTCCTGGTGTCCCTCCCTCGGGAGGGTCAGAGCCCTGTGGCTCCTGGGGGTGGTAACTGTCCACCCTGTTTTTATTATGACCCTGGGATGAGCGAGTGCGATGCATCACTACCTCAGGCCTTTGTGCTTCGGGTGAGGAAGCATGCTGGTTTAGCGGCGCTGTTGAGGGCCCCTGGGGTGTGGGCTCCGTGGGACCCCGATGTGGGTCAGGGAGGCCTGCCCAGGAGGCACCCTGTGCAACCAGACCCGAAGGACATCCGCCAACCTTGCCAAAGCCCCGCTGTGCATGCGGAGACTGCATGCTACGATATGCACGTGGCCTCAATACTGATGACAGCATATTGGGGGAGTTTGGGGATTTCTGTGCTTTTCCTTTGTAGGAGTCATCATGCTGCTCTGATGCGTGATCTGGCTTGTATAGCATGTCGGAAGGGACTGTCTCTGGGAGAAAATCCCTTGTACAGCTTTTAGATGGACTTCAGCGTGTGGTTTTAGATACACCAGGGCTCACCAGAGCAGGTCTGAAGGACTTTGGGACCCAGCTCTGGAGCCTTGTGTGGGGCTGAGTCCTGGGAAGTTTAGGATATATCTTTCAGTACTGTGTTTCCAGAGCAGAGCTGATGGAGGAATTGCTTCCTGTGCACCTGTGGCAGGGGTGGGTGCAGGGAAGCCCTGCCTGTCTTGAGCCTCCCTGGTGAGGTGACAGTTGGCATCCTTGGAGGACTTCGGTTAATGGGAGTGGCAGCCCTGTGCCAGCCTTCTCATACCTTTAGGGATTGTGGATTAGGAAAGTTGTCTTAACTTTTTTTTTTTTTTGAGACAGGGTTTTACTCTGTTGCCTAGGCTGGAATGCAGTGGTGTGACTGTAGCTTACTGCAGTCTCCACCTCCCAGCCTCAAGTGATTCTCCTGCCTCCCAAAGTGCTGGGATTACAGGTGTGAGCCACTGCACCCAGCTGTCATTCAGTCTCTTCCTTCATCATCAAGAAGGCCTATCTTGTGGAGGGGGCAGGTGGTAGTGAATGGATTTGATGGCTTTCCCACATTTTGGGGGATGACAGTTGTTCCTCCTAGTGCTTGGTAGGCCTTTACTGTGGTGGGGGACTCCAGACCCTGGTCTGATGCTATGCACCAGTCCTCAGGCACACTACCACCCATTTGTTTTGTTTTGTTTTTCGAGTTGGAGTCTCACTCTGTTGCCCAGACTGGAGTGCAGTGGCATGCTCATGGCCACCGCAGCCTCAACCTGCTGGGCTCAGGTGATCCTTCCGCCTCAGCCTTCCAAGTAGCTGGAACTACTCCTGATTAATTTTTTGATTTATTGTAGAGACGAGATCTCGCCAAGTTGCCCAGGCGGGTCTCGAACCCCTGGACTCAGGCAGTCCTCTCGCCTCTGCCTCCCAATGTGCTGGAATTATAGGCTTGAGCCACCATACCTGGCACTGCTATCCATTTGTAAAGTCATCCTGCTCCTTGTGGTCTTCCCTCGTTGGAACAAAGTGTCTTCCTCAGCATCCTGGTTGTGGTCTGTGGGTGTGGTTCCATGTCCACGTGGGTCTTGGACTGGGTGTGCCATGGGTGGGGGTGGGGGGGTTGCCCTGTTGAGTAGGTTTGATAGGGAAAGAGAGTATGTGGAGAATCGAGGTAGAACATGGGAACCATCTCAAGGAAGATAGCAGGCCAGCATGTCACGGGAGTCACCGAGGCACCTCTTTTTGGGAGAAGTCTCTGCCCAGACTGAGTCCTGGGATCTGCAGCCTCACGTGGTTGACATTGCATTCTGATGTAGGTTGGACCTGAGGGCATCCTGCAGAACGGGGCTGTGGACGACAGTGTGGCCAAGACCAGCCAGTTGTTGGCTGAGTTGAACTTTGAAGAAGATGAGGAAGATACGTATTACACCAAGGATCTCCCCATCCATGCGTGCAGGTGAGCCGGGTGCAGCTGGGCCAGGGCAGGGTGTCTGAGAGCTCACCTCCCAGGGATGAGGTGGCACCCTGACTCATGGCGGCCCTGTCCTTGGGAATAAGGAAGTTGCTTACACCCATGTGTACACCCGTGTGCTTACACTCTCCGACTCCCTAAATTCAGTCAGCTGGTAGAGAGAGTGGCCTTTCCTCAGACCCTGGGGTCCTTGCCTAGCACCTGCCCGCCCACTCACTAGAAGGAACTTGCCACTGCACTGGTGAGCGTCCGGGCTCCCCAACAGAGGGCTGGCTGCTGGTCTGTGGTGGGTGTCTTCATGCCTCCCAGGCTTGGAAAGACAAGTGAGTCCATTAGTTGGGGCATACCTGCCTGGGAGCAGATGTGGGATTCTTGACTCCAGCAGGACGATCCCTGGTTTGGGCTTAATCTTGATTTTTCCACACTCACATGAAGACATTTAGATCAAAAGAGGTGGAATGAGGCTGGGAGCAGTGGCTCATACCCATAATCCCGGTACTTTGGGAGGCTGAGGTGAGAGGATTGATTGCCTGAGCCCACAGATTCAAGACCAGCCTGGGCAACTTGGCAAGACCTTGTTTCTACATTAAATCAAAAAATTAGCTGGACATGGTGGCACACGCCTGTGGTTCCAGCTACTTGGAAGGCTGAGGCAGAAGGATCACCTGAACCCAGCAAGTCAAGGTTGTGGTGGCCCTGAGCGTGCCACTGCATTCCAGCCTGGGCAACAGAGTGAGACTCCAACTCCAAAAAAAGAGGTGAAATGATTTCACTCAGGCACTGGCTGTCAGGGCAGTACCCACTTGCGCTCAGCTTGCTGGGATAGGGTGACTTCTTCCCACTTTGTGGGCAGACACTTTGTGTTATTTTGACTTTTTGGTCATTTTAACTTGCAGTTGTTTTAATGTATGTAGTGGTGTTCCTGTTATGCACAGAGATGCCTGTAAAGAGGGTAGGGAGTTGCCTTGCCTGCTGTGCCCCTCACCCAGGTCCTCTTCATACTGTAGGAGGTGGGTGGTGGTTCTTAGTTGAAGCACATTCTGGTTTGAGACCAAATTTGGCTTTGTACACAAGCGGAACTCTGAGGAGTCAGTGTGCTTTGTGTGTGTGTGTATTTTTTCAGAAAACCGAAGTGTGGGTTGGGGCTTCCCAAGGTGCTCCTTGCTTGAACTTTGCACTTCAGGCACTGGCCTCTCCATGACAGGGCCTGTGTGCCATTCCCCAGGAGCACAGTGCCCTCTGCTGGAGCCTGCTGCTCATAGTGACCATGGTGTTGTGTCCGGTTCCAGAAACTTCAGGCCAAAGAGGGAAGAGACTGAAATGGCCTTGGTGGGTGTGAGGCCTCACTTGGGGTCTCCCTAGAGTGGTTTTGCTGCTTCTGGGGCATTCACCATACACCTCACTCTCCCCTGCGTTCTCAACTTTGGGAAGCCTTGGCTGACTGGTTTGATTTGGTGATTGGGATTGCTGGGTCTCAGTATGTGTTTAATGAAAAACTTAAAAATGTTGTAAGAGGAAAGAATTTTACATCCTGCCAAATTAGAACCAGAGAGCAACCTTCTAGCTTTAACTGTTGATGTTTTGATTTTTAGTTACTGTGGAATACATGATCCTGCCTGCGTGGTTTACTGTAACACCAGCAAGAAGTGGTTCTGTAACGGACGTGGAAATACTTCTGGCAGGTAGATAATCAGACCGTGCATGTGTCTTTAATCAGTGGTGTGCTCAGATTTGTGTGTAAATTATGGAAATGTTGGAGCAAAGCGCAATATAAAATCACGCTAACAAACCTGGTTTTTTTCCTCCTCTGTGACTGGTTTAACTTGAAACAGATGGTGGTGTGTGAATGCCTTAATGTATTTACCCTTGATTTATTCTCTGTGGCTCTTTTATTATGCAAGTAGGGCTGGCTTAATTCTCGTTCCCAGTTTTTATTTCGATTTTTCTGCAAGATGAGCTCCTGGCAGTCCGTTGATCCTCATTAACGGAGGATGTTCCCAAAGTGGTAACGGGCATCCAGGGGGTTGGTTCAGGCGCTCGGGCCTGAGCTGTCCGGAGGCTAATTCGGGCCAGATTCCCAATCATCGGATTCACTTCCCGTGACCATCAGCCCGGGCGTCCCTCCTGCGATTGATCAGCAGCAGCTGGGACCAGCCCTTGTTCTGTGTTTGGGACAAGACCAGTGTTCTGTTGGTCCGAGTTCTAGGAGGGAGTGCAGTTGTCTTAGGCTGCCACGGATGTGTCCACAGTTCGTTCCACTGCTTGGAGGGCCCGGGCACAGGGTCTGAGGCAGAGCTTGAGGTTGCAGCTGAGACGCAGGCTCCTTTTCTGAGGTGTTCTGTCCTGGAGAAGGCCCATCGGCAGCCTCCGTTGCACAGGGCCCCCACCCTCCTGTGCCTGCAGCTGCTGTGACTTGCCCAGGTCCTTGGATGGAGCACAGATTCTTTGGCGCCTCTGCGTTAGTAGCTTGAAGTGTGGGACTGAGCAAGGAAGAAAGGGGCCAGCACTTTTTTAAAAGTATCTTCTGGGTAACCAAAAGACTTTTGTGTCCCATTTTCAGAATATTCTGGGAAATTTAAGTGTTGCTTATGTTTGTGGTCCTCTTGTACAGGAAAAACAACTTAGAAACATCTTAACTGGCAACCCCAGCCTCCAGTCAGCACAGCCAAGGGCAGGGCAGTGAGGAAGACAGGACAGGGAGGTGGGGAAGCAGCCACTTGCCTTTGGAAAACTGACCTGTCCCAGGGGAAGGCGGCACGGGAAGGACAGCAGGAACCGCGGTTCTGTTCCACACCCAGTGGTGGCCGCCTGAGAGAGGAGTTGGGGCGTGGGGATGCCAAGAGCAGCCACAGGTGGCCAGGTGATCTGACGAGCTGCATGGCAGCAGGAGAGGGCTAGAAGATGGTCTTCTGAGCTGAAGCTTCCCAGAGGGGAAGAGAAGGTGCAGCAAGGAAGGCTCAGGGGCCGGTGGGTGTTCAGAGCATCTGTCTGGCTCAGGGATGGTGTAAGTGCCCAAAGGTGGAGAGGTGTACAGTGCATTGGGTACCCTTGTTAGATGAGTCAGGTGGGTCCCCCACGGTGGCTGGCTTGGCACGGGCATGGCTCAACAGCAGGTCATGGTTCAGGTGAGTGGTATCCTAGCCACATGGCAGCAAGGAAGGATCCCATAGAGCCATGCTGTAGACCTTGGCATCTGCGGAATAGCCTTGTGCCTTCCTGTGCTCAGGTTTCCAGAGTGGCTGGTTATCAGGTTCCTGGCTACAGCATGTCCAAAGGGGTTTCTTGACAACAATAGCATGAGGAGACCTTGGGGACAAGTGGGTCTTGTGGGATGTGTCACTGGCCCTACAGCACTGGCCAGCAGTGGGTTAAATGGGACCTGTTAAGTTGGAGTTAAGGAAGCAAAGCTGTGTGGACTGTGTTGAGGAAGTTTCCTTTTAAAAAGGGGCTGAAGTTGGGATTGATTTTGCGGTGGGTGGGGAGCCAGCTGGGGAAGGGCTGGTCCCTGGGGTGCCAGATGGATGAGGTGTGACGCCTCTGCTAATGGACCGTGAACGGACCGGAACTTCCAGCAGGGGCCCGAAGACTGGAAGTGGTGAAAAGCCAGACTTTGGGTGTTAACTGTCTATCGTTTCCTGGTCTCAGCCACATTGTAAATCACCTGGTGAGGGCAAAATGCAAAGAGGTGACCCTGCACAAGGACGGGCCCCTGGGAGAGACGGTCCTGGAGTGCTACAACTGCGGCTGTCGCAACGTCTTCCTGCTTGGCTTCATCCCGGCCAAGGCCGACTCGGTGGTGGTGCTGCTGTGCAGGTGAGGGTCCCCAGATGGCTCCGAGGTGACCTTCCAGCCTGCCAAGGCCCTGCCTGACTCCGGGGAACTGTGCTTTAAAGATGGCTCCTGCTGGGGGCGAGGCTTGTGCAGGCCGGGTTTGTGGGGAAGTTGGGTGTGTTCTGGTAAAGTGTAGAAACAATTCTATGGAAAGTCTATTCTGGGTATTGAGAGATTAGAGCTCAAAAGTGTGTAAGGAGGTGCGGTTTATTGCTAACAGCTTGAAGGTAATGTGATCACATAATAAGGTGCAGGGAACACTTCTTCAGGTGAAAGGTCAGCAGCCCCCCCACTTGGGGCTTCAGGAAAGGGACTGCTGCTCATGGTTGCCTTCCCTGCCTGCAGGCAGCCCTGCGCCAGCCAGAGCAGCCTCAAGGACATCAACTGGGACAGCTCGCAATGGCAACCGCTGATCCAGGATCGCTGCTTCCTGTCTTGGCTGGTCAAGATCCCATCTGAGCAGGAGCAGCTGCGGGCGCGCCAGATCACGGCCCAGCAGATCAACAAGCTGGAGGAGCTCTGGAAGGTAAGGCCTGCTGCGGGCGGACCGTTCCTGTGCACAGTGCCCTCGGGGGTCTTCGGAGACGGTCTGATTGGGTGAGGCCTCTGGGGTTCTGGAAGGAACTGGATGAGCCTCTGCAACCTGCAGCTGGAGTGGCCCCGGCAGCCCAGAAGGCGGCTCCCAGGGCCTCTGCGCCTTCCTCCCCATAGGCCATGTTGCCTGCCCTGGAACAGCCTGGCCGCTGGAAAAGGAAAGCTCTGTTTGCTGGAAATTTCTCTTTCTTGCTGGGGTGTGGGAGGTAAGATAGAACCGACTGTGAGCAGAAGTGTCCACAGGTCCAGATGTATCCCGGAGGTAGGGGACTGCATGTGCACTGTAGAACCTTGGGGCTGGGGAGGGTGCTGGCAAGTGTCCCAGGGGAGGAAGTCAGGGCTGTCAGGACAGTGAAGGGGAGAGAGAAGAGGGCCAGATAGGCAGTGGGATCTTGGCTCTCAGATGTGTGAGGATCCCCACCCTTCCCCTGGAAGCTCTGCTCTGGTCCTGGCTGTCCAGGATTTTGCGGTAAAGTAAGTTCTAATACCCAGGCTAGAAGTTCTTACTCGGCGCCCATTTAGTCAGAAACCTCAGGTAGAAGTTTGTTTGCACTCAACACAAGTCAGAGTGTTTCAAGCACTGTCTACCTTTCCACCCTGATTCTCAGGTTGCTAGAATTATTCCATTGCTGAGAACCAGACAGCCTAGATAGACACTGTTGTGTGTCCCCACCAGAGGGGCCCACTGAGAGAGTGGACACCAGTTCAGTTCAGGGACAGCTGGACCCAGGAGACGGGCCTCCCCTCTGTGGATGCGGCAGAGAGCACAGGAGAAGCCAGTGGTCTTGGCGGTGGCCTGGAAGAGGGGGTGCCTATTGTCCTTCCTGGGCATGCTTGTAGAGTCAGGAGGTTCCTGTGTGTGGACATGTGTTGGGCAGTGCATGGGGCTTTGCAGGCAGAGTTACTGCATGCTGGAACCCTCTCAGGGGCAGCGGCTGGGGTCAGGCACAGCCTAGGCTGCTGTCCAACTCCTTGTCAGTATGAAGTTCCCTGAGAGGTGGGCACCACTGCCTGTCTGGGGACTGTGTAGACCCTCCACAGCCCAGCCTGGGGCACGTGCACCTGTCCCTTGGGGTCTCCTGGGCTCATGTTCCGGTACTCTAGGGGCAAACGATGAGTGTGGTGCTGGTGTTCCTGTCTCCTAGGAAAACCCTTCTGCCACCCTGGAGGACCTGGAGAAGCCGGGGGTGGATGAGGAGCCGCAGCACGTGCTCCTGCGGTATGAGGATGCCTACCAGTACCAGAACATCTTTGGGCCCCTGGTCAAGCTGGAGGCTGACTACGACAAGAAGCTGAAGGAGTCTCAGGTGACGTGGCATGTGCTGGAGAGCTGGCTGTAACGGGGTGTCTCTTTTCAGGCCAGGGTGGGCGGTTTGTCTTCTAGGCCTTGGAGACCGATGTGGGCTTGAGGCCACAGTGCACTGAGTGATGGAGCCATGGGCTGGAGCCAGGTGGCCGCACAGTCTGTGGCCAGTGCCACGGCCCTTGGAGCAGACATTGGCCCACGTGTTTTGTTTTTAAATCCAACGATAATCCCTCCCAGTCAGGTTCACAGCTTTGCTGCAGAAGTTGGACCTCGTGCCAGGTCCTGTGGAGAACATGCCGATGAGACAGGGCTGCAGTGCCGGCCTCCCTTTTCCCTCCCGTAGCTGCCTGCCCTGTGCTGTGAAGGCTCCAGATGGGTCATCGTGTGGGGCATGGGGCTTTCTAACCACTTTGCCTCCAGGCAGGCCCTTGGTGCATGAGGCTGTGGGCAGCTGAGCTCACAGCTGGGCTCCTGAGTGGAGCCCCAACATGTGGAGTCCAGGCCCGTGTCCTTGCCGAGAGCTAACCAGGGCTCTTGTCTTTCATGTGCTCAGACTCAAGATAACATCACGGTCAGGTGGGACCTGGGCCTTAACAAGAAGAGAATCGCCTACTTCACTTTGCCCAAGACTGACTCTGGTAATGAGGATTTAGTCATAATTTGGTTAAGAGGTGATTTTAAGTTTTAAAATATTTGTGACCATAAGTAGCATAAAATTCCTAGTTTCACCCTTGTAAAGTGTCCCTTAATTTGAACTCTTCCTGGTGAATCTGCGTCATGTTAAACCACTGACTCTTGCTTTTTCACCGGAAGACATGCGGCTCATGCAGGGCGATGAGATTTGCCTGCGGTACAAGGGGGACCTTGCGCCCCCATGGAAAGGGATCGGCCATGTCATCAAGGTCCCTGATAGTATCCTTCGTGAGAAGAGGTGGGCCAGCCTGTTGTCTGCGCAGCTCCTGCCACATGGTGGGGGAAGCTGGAGTTTTCCTGGTTGTGGCGATGCTGAAGTCTCGTGCTCTGTGTACTGGGCTGGGTGCTGGCTGGCTTGGCCCTTCGCTGCTCTGAAGAGAGGCGCAGCCTCGACCTTGGTGTGTCTAGTGGTTATTCAGTTACTTTTACCTCTGCCCAGACGGTGTATCAGCGGGGCATACCTGTGACTCCCAGTCCCCTTCCTCTGAGTGTGTGAACATGAGTGTGTGTGTGCGAACATGAGCGCTTGTGTGCAGTCCCTCTCATGAAGCACCTCCTGCTTTCTGGGAGCATCCCTGGTTTGACTCTCAAGGTTAAACTGGCTCTGAAAAGAGCCTTACTGGGACGCTGGTGCTGCATGCGAAGGTTCCAGCAGCAGTGGATAGTGCAAGTGTTCCCAGGTCATGCGAGGTGGCATGCGTGGCCTTTTTGTGATCCAGTGACAGGAACTCACAGTGTCCATAAAGCCCAGGTGCAGTCAGGTGTCTGGATGGGGTAAGACCCTGGAGAAGACATTGGCAGGTCCATCTCAGAACTGCCTCCCAGGGTTGGCTGATGGTGCTGGCACCTCACCGGGCCCTGCAGCGGCCTGGGGTGGGAACATGGTATCCCTACATCAGCCTCCCATCTATGTCTCTGACACACTCATCCTGAGCATCCCAGACCTGTCGTGGGGCTGAGGATGGAGGGAAGGGCATTGCCCACACCGCGGTCTCTTGTTGGGGCTGTGGAAGTACCCAGGCCACTCGTGTGTGGAAGGCACTGCACCTTTCCTCAGCTGTCTTCGGAGGTGCAGTGTATGTGGACCTGTCGGGAAGATTTGCTGCAGCTGGAGCCGGGAACTGGGCCAGGTTATGGCCACTCTGTGTGGTATAGGCTGCCGGTCTCTGTTTCTCTGAGAAGGACCTGCATGAGACTGCCCTGGGGGTCCATAAAGGCACATGGGGCCAGGCTGGGGCAGGACACAGCTCTTTGTGAAGGCAGAATTTGTGGGCATGTGTTGGTTCTGCATTTGGCAAGGGGTGGTTTCTTAATACCTAGAGAGGCATTATTTAAAGGCTTTATATCAGGGGCGCCTCAGAAAGGTCAGCCCGGCTTTTGACAAGGATGTGAACTTAACTCAGTGTACAGATTATGGTGACGAGATCGCCATTGAGCTGCGAAGCAGTGTGGGTGCCCCTGTGGAGGTGACTCACAATTTCCAGGTGGACTTTGTGTGGAAGTCGACCTCGTTTGACAGGTACGTCTGCCCTCCCATGCTGCTGCCATCTGATTTGCAGTCCCCGCTGTTCCTGGGTCACCGCCTGCCACATCTTTACAAACTCCCCTGTCAGGTGGAGTGGGTCCCCCCCAGCTCTGTGAGTTCGGGACACCAGTGACATAGGTCACGGCTATGCGTGTTGCTGACCTCGTGCTGCCCTCCCAGGATGCAGAGTGCTCTGAAGACGTTCGCCGTGGATGAGACCTCGGTGTCTGGCTACATCTACCACAAGCTGCTTGGCCACGAGGTGGAGGATGTGATCATCAAGTGCCAGCTGCCCAAGCGCTTCACAGCGCAAGGGCTCCCTGACCTCAATCACTCTCAGGTGCTGCGTGTCCCCAGGGGCAGGGTCTCTCCCATGTGGCCGTGGTATAGACGACCACCCCTAACTGCCACTTGTACTTGAAGGTTTATGCGGTGAAGACTGTGCTGCAGAGACCGCTGAGCCTGATCCAGGGCCCACCGGGCACAGGGAAGACAGTGACCTCGGCCACCATCGTCTACCACCTGGCTCGGCAGGGCAATGGGTAGGGCTCGTGGTGGCCCCCAGGGAGAAGGGTGAGGTGGCCTGTCTGCTGAGAGCCTTGGGCACTCACGTGTCACCAGCCCTGTCGCTGAGAAGAGCACGCAACGGGCAGCATCTGTGCTCATCATTCATGACACGTCCAGCTTCGTGGTTGCTCTTTGGAACCACGCCTGCTGCTGTCTTGAAGGACAGTGCTGGCTGGGTTATGTGTCTGTTGTGCCTTGATGCATCTCAGCTGAAGGCATTTGGCAGTGGGCAGGAGGGTGAGAGTGCAAGTCCGGTCGTCAGTGTCACTTGGAGTGGGTTTCTCTGGGATACCTGGTGGAAGTGGGAAACCCAGGCTGTCCAGGCCTGAGTCCAGCATCACAGCGCCACTATGGGTGAGGAACAGCAGTCTGAGCCGTTCTGGTCCCGAGTTCCTGGGCACACCCGAGCTGTCTGGTTGTGTTCCAGGCCTGTGCTTGTCTGTGCTCCCAGCAACATTGCTGTGGACCAGCTGACCGAGAAGATCCACCAGACAGGGCTGAAGGTTGTGCGCCTTTGCGCCAAGAGCCGTGAGGCCATTGACTCCCCAGTGTCCTTCCTGGCCTTGCACAACCAGATCCGGAACATGGACAGGTAGGCGCAGGCCCTCTCTCCTGGTCCCTGAGCTGCATGGGCGGTGTGTGCAGAGCCCTGTTGACCTGCATGTCTTCTAGCATGCCCGAGCTGCAGAAGCTACAGCAGCTGAAGGATGAGACTGGGGAACTGTCGTCTGCTGATGAGAAGCGGTATCGGGCCCTGAAGCGCACAGCCGAGAGGGAGCTACTCATGGTGAGCTTGCAGGTGTCTGGCCTGCCCAACCGGTGGTAACTCAGAGCCATCTGCTGCTTTGCTTCTGAGGAGAGAGCTCAGGTGTCCCCTCTGTGCTTGCTCCATGGTTGGGAGCACGCAGTCCTCCAGGTGGTCTCCACCCTTGTCGGCCTCCACTGGCCCTGGGCACTGGGTCTGAAATATTCTCTCCTGTTCTTGCATAATGAATCACCCAAAACCAGGCTCTCACCCTGAATGTGGTTTCACCAGCTCAGTGCTGCCCCCTAGAGGCCGTTGTGAGGCACAGAGCTGCTTCTGTGCCTTCCGCCGAGCACTACTGTTAAGGACCTTGCAAGTTCGTGGTCATGGCAGCTTGGGCCAAATGTCTTGTCCTGGAGGAACAGCTTGTTTTCAGAGTTGTCCTGGGGGGGACGAGAAGGAACAGAACAACTTCTGCATCTCGCCCCACTGCCCTCCAGGATCTATTGACGTTTACAGTGCCAGTGTTCTGATGCTTCTGTACCCCTCCCCAGAATGCAGATGTCATCTGCTGCACATGCGTGGGTGCCGGTGACCCAAGGCTTGCCAAGATGCAATTCCGCTCCATCTTAATTGATGAGAGCACCCAGGCCACTGAGCCGGAGTGTATGGTTCCTGTGGTCCTCGGGGCCAAGCAGGTGGGTGCCTCTTCTCAACAGGCTTTTGTAGATGTCAGTGCATGCGGTTCTTGATGCTCAGGGTCAGATTTTTAAAACATCTTGTGATTCTGTGTGGTGCCTAGCCAAGCACAGAGGAGTGCACCGTAGGCCCTCTGAGGCGGTCTTTGGAAGGTGGGCTTGTGGGGCCCTTCATCTGTGCCCACTGTGCCCAGTCAACCTGTGTGCCAGCTGCAGGTCCAACATGCGTGGTGGGCAGTTTCCTGCACCCATGGCAGGGTGGTGCTCTGTGGACATAGGGTGCCTTGGCTCCCTGCCAGTGCATGTCACCCTTCAGGTGTGAGCTGCTCGACTTGTGGCCTCTCCCTGCAGCTGATCCTCGTGGGTGATCACTGCCAGCTGGGCCCGGTGGTGATGTGCAAGAAGGCGGCCAAGGCCGGGCTGTCACAGTCGCTCTTCGAGCGCCTGGTGGTGCTGGGCATCCGGCCCATCCGTCTCCAGGTCCAGTACCGAATGCACCCTGCACTCAGCGCCTTCCCGTCCAACATCTTCTATGAGGGCTCGCTGCAGAACGGTGTCACCGCAGGTATCAGGACTCTGCCTGGGGTGGGGCCTCTAGACAAGGAACATGAGGGAATGCGGTCTGGGGAGACCAAATGACCCATCAGTTCCTCCACGGATGTGCAGGGCGACTACTCCAGTGTGGGCACTTTGTTCCCTTCCGTTTCAGCAGTATGGACAGAGGGACTGCGCACCTCCCTGGGGTGGGTGTGGGGAGTCCCTGTTTGCCATGAAGTTCGTTCACTGCCTAGAAGTCTACCCGAGGCTCCTGAGACCTCAACAGCAAGGACGACGGGTCCTGGGAGCCAATCCTGGGCCTGACTTCCTCCTCGGCCTTGTGTTTGGTGCCTCACAAAGAGCAGTGATTCTTTTTTTTTTTTTTGAGCTGGAGTCTCACTCTGTCACCCAGACTGGAGTGCAGTGGCCGCTCCCGGCCACCGCAGCCTCGACCTGCTGGGCTCCGGCGATCCTTCTGCCTCAGCCTTCCGAGTAGCCGGAACTACAGGCGTGCGCTACCACGCCTGGCTGACTGTTGATTTATTGTAGAGATGAGGTCTCGCTGCCCAGGCAGGTCCCGAACCTGCGGGCTCAGGCAATCCACTCACCTCAGCCAGAGCAGTGATTCTTAACACCCAGGCCTAGGGGCCACAGGACCTTTTCCAGCTTCCCTTGATAACCCAGAAGCACCATCTGTCCTTTCCACTGTGCCATCTTGTGCACCCATAGTGACTGCTGGTGCTGCTGTGAGTCGGCTCAGAGATGCCAGAGTGCCAGGGCCGCGTGTTGCTGCCACTCATTCTTGATGAAAAATACCCCAGAGGAAGAAATGAAAGCATCGTTCTACTAAGTACTGAGCGCACATCCTTGTTATCCTCAGTGTGACGGATGTTTCTGTGACACTGTGGCGGTGAAGGTATTTGAAGGAAGAACCCGAAGACACCCTGGGAGTCACGTAAAGCTGTCAGACTGTCGTTTCAAGGAAGGAAGTGGCAGTATTTGTCACCCAGTGATAAAATATGAGAAATTTGAAAAAGTTGAATGTGGCATGCCGTGAACCTGCTCTTCCTAGTACCTAGAGACCTTTCTTACGAGATCTGTGGTGATGACAGATGTCTGTGAGGTCTGCCTTGCCTTTGAAAGTCCGCTTGACTCAGTGGGCAGATCCTTCCTGAATGATTAGGAGACAGAGTTACGAAGTCACATGGGGACCAAACACCCATCCTGAGTGGGATGAGCGGCATGGGGTCGTCACAGGCCTGAGGGAAACCACCTCTGCTTGGCCTGTTATGGCAGGAATAGACCTGCAGTCCTGAGAGGTTGTTGCAACAGTTTCCCGTTTCAGCCCCACGTGTCTGAGTCCTGGCTCCCTCACTGATTTCTGCACCTCGCCGAAGAGCAAACTGGATGCAGAGGCCGAGCTGGCACCCACTGTCTTCAATTAAGCCAGATAAGAAAGAGTTTGCAGAAATGCGAAACAAGACCACGCTTCTCACCCAGATTATGTTTTTGGAAATAGTTTATTTTTATTTTTATTTTTTGAGTTGGAGTCTCACTCCGTCGCCCAGACTGGAGTGCAGTGGCTGCTCCCGGCCACCGCAGCCTCGACCTGCTGGGCTCTGGTGATCCTTCCACCTCAGCCTTCCAAGTAGCTGGAATTACAAGCATGCACTACCACACCCAGCCGATTTTTTGATTTATTGTAGAGATGAGGTCTCGCTGCCCAGGCGGGTCTCGAACCCACGGGCTCAGGCAATCCACTCACCTCAGCCTCCCAAAGGCATGGGATTACAGGCTGAGCTACCGAGTCCGGCTTGTTTTTGTTTTTCTTTTTAAGAGACAAGGTCTCACTGTGTTGCCTAGGCTGTCTCGAGTTCCTAGGCTCAAGCAGTCCTCTTGCCTCGGCCTCCCAGAGTTCTGGAATTATAGGCTTGAGCCACTGCACCTGGCCTAAAAAGTTGTTTTTCATAAAATATATTTAATGTGTAACAGGTTATTTTTTTATTTTTTATTTTTTATTTTTTTGAGTTGGAGTCTCACTCTGTCGCCCAGACTGGAGTGCAGTGGCTGCTCTCGGCCACCGCAGCCTCGACCTGCTGGGCTCCGGCGATCCTTCCGTCTCAGCCTTCCATCTCAGCCTTCCAAGTATCTGGAACTACAGGCACGTGCTACCACACCAGGCTAATTTTTGATTTATTGTAGAGATGAGGTCTCGCCAAGTTGCCCGGACAGGTCTCGAACCCGTGGGCTCAGGCAATCCACTCACCTCAGCCTCCCAAGGCGCGGGATTACAGGCTGAGCCACCGAGCCCAGCAATAACAGGTTATTTTAGCATGAACACAAATCTTAGGTTTCTAAGTTTCGGAAAGCTAACATTCCACATAAACACAAGCTCTTGGACTGAAGCTGCTGACGTGGCATCCCTTGGACTCAACTCCAACAACCCAGGAGTGGGAGCCCGGCCTGTGGGGCCCACTCACAGATGGGAAGCAGGCTCAACACTTGCACCCTGTCCTGGCCACATCACTGCCTTCCTGTTGCTGGGTCCTGGGAGTCGATGCCACTGTTGGCGTCACAGGGATACTGGGAATGCCACACTCCTCCTGATGTGGTGAGCCTAGAGAATGCAAGACCGTGAAGGCCTCACTTGCGCCTTTATGAGGTGCTGCGCTGTTGCAAAGGCATGGCTCACATAACCTGCCCTGCCTCCCTCCTGGACGTTGACTCAAGGGCTGGCGCCATCGCACTCGCAGCTCTGTCGTCAGTGCTCAGTAGGTAGCACCTGATAAGTGCATTTCAGGGAGAACTTTGTTGGACTGTAAGCACACTGATCGAGATTCCCAAAGGGACAGGGGGCATGTGTGTTGAGAAGCTGATTTTAAAGTTGCCAGGAAACGGGAACAACCAAGACGGGCATGAGGAGCCCAAGACAGCAGTGGCTCATGCCGTGATATGTCATGACTTAGGCTTCCCCACATGGTCAGGCCCCAGCCTGGGATGGTATCCAGAGGCAGGGCCACCGGTCCACAGGGCACAGGCAGGGACAAGCGAGGCTTAACAGTGTCACACATAAGCCTGTTGTAGGGGTTTTGTGGGCCTGTAAGGTAAAGCTTCTAGGACACAGGTTATTCTGTGATCATGGGGCGAGAGAGACATCAGGCTGTGGAGGGCACCAGCCAGCCAGTATGTGTTTGGTTGGCGAGCTAGCTCTGTGCTCATCCTGAGCGTCTCGGGCTGGGGGGCGGATCAAGTGACCTTGCCGAGCCCCACAGCCTGGGCTTTCCGGCCTCAAGGCTTTGCCAGTGGTGGCGCAGCATCCGTGTTGTGTTATGCGTGAGCTTGGTTGAGGCAGGCTGCCACTCTTGAAACGTTGCCTCTTTCCCTTCCCTGTGACAGCGGATCGTGTGAAGAAGGGCTTTGACTTCCAGTGGCCCCAGCCCGACAAACCAATGTTCTTCTATGTGACCCAGGGCCAGGAGGAGATTGCCAGCTCGGGCACTTCCTACCTGAACAGGTGAGTGGGGGTGGCCTGCTGACATCGGGGGCTTGGGTAGTTTGGAGTGGTTGTTGACCCGTTATGTTTATTTTCACATGGTACTAAACTTATTTTGCCCTCATTCAGACTCTAAACCAGCAGCGTTTTATTTCTGCCTTGTCTTCCAACATACCTGTTTGTATAGTGGGCAGATACTCTGTCAGCCCACATGTGACCTTTTCTGTCTTGTGACTCCCCAGCACAGGGTAGGGACGCTCAGCCGTGCACGTGCTGGGTGTGGGGGCAGCTGGCACCTCAGGATCACATGGGTGGAGCCCACCACTGAGGGCCTGGTTTTCATAGGACGGAGGCTGCCAACGTGGAGAAGATCACCACAAAGCTGCTGAAGGCAGGTGCCAAGCCAGACCAGATTGGCATCATCACACCCTATGAGGGCCAGCGCTCCTACCTGGTGCAGTACATGCAGTTCAGCGGCTCCCTGCACACCAAGCTCTACCAGGTGTGTGTGCATGTGCTCATGGTTCCCTGGCCATGCCGTGGATGCTGGCCTTGGAGCTTGGGTTAGCCAGCCTCTCAGGAGGGCACAGGAGAACACCTCCCCAGTGTCCCAAGGGTCAGAAACATGGGCAGGGATGGCTGCCTGAAGGCCTTTTTCAGGATGTTAGAAACAAGGCCCAGGTGAAGCAGTGAGGGGTGGTCAGTGCTGGCCACGCAGTGGGTGTCACGCGGTATGAAGGCGGCCTTCACAAAGCTGCCTTTTTTTTCTTTTCTTTTTTTTTCTGAGGCGGAGTCTCACTCTGTTGCCCAGGCTAGAGTGCAGTGGCACAATCATGGCCACCACAGCCTTGACCTCCTGGGCTCAGGCAGTCCTTCCGCCTCAGCCTTCCAAGTAGCTGGAACCACAGGCGTACACCACCAGGCCCAGGTGATTTTTATTTTTATTATTTATTTCTTGTAGACACGAGGTCTCACCACGTTGTCTAGACTGGTCTCGAACCCCTGGGTTCGGGCAGTCATCTCACCTCAGCCTCCCAGAGTGCTAGGGTTTTAGGCATGAGCCACTACACCGGGCCCACAAAGCCTTCTTGACACCCAGATGAGGACCTCCATTTCCCCTCCCCCCAGCGTGTGTGAAGAGGGGCGAGGCCCCAGGTGTCTCTCCACATGGAGTCACCAGTATGGTCATATGGCTGTGCTTTTCTTCCTGTTCCTTGGGTCTGACCTCTGACTCTCTGTGATGAGCATTTGTGCTCTTGTTTCTGGGTACCAAATCACCAAAGCTCAAAGAAAACAAAACGCAGGAGGGCCCAGAGGTGCAGGGGCCAGGTGTCAGATCCCAGGTTTGCCGGTGGGATTTGAGGGTGTGTCTTGGCACGTTTCTTGGGGCTTTGGGGGCCCCCGAAGGCAGCACTCTGGCTGGCGATGACAACACAGCTCCCTTCCAGGAGGTGGAGATTGCCAGCGTGGACGCCTTCCAGGGGCGCGAGAAGGACTTCATCATTCTCTCCTGCGTGCGGGCCAATGAGCATCAGGGCATTGGGTTTCTAAATGACCCAAGACGTCTTAACGTGGCCTTGACCCGAGCAAGGTAGGGAGGCTGCCTGGGGCCTGTCCTTGCATTGCCATCTTCACATCCCAGGCCAGCTGGGGGTATCGCCAGGGCCAGAGGTTGAAGGGCTCCAAGCAGTGTCTAGAAACGGTGGCTGACTTGTGAGATGTCTTTGGTGGTTTTCTGTGGTCCACGTTCCTTGGCCCAGTGGAAAGTCTCTTTCAAGGCCCTTCTGGTCTGGGACTCAAATCCAGTGTGTGATGTGTGCTGTCGAGTTTAATGTGAGAATGTGAAATTTTGGAGCGTCTGCCACTTGTTTGTGCTTCTGAAATAAAACTTTCCTGAAATGAGACTAGCAGAAGGGGGCCTGAGAACAAGGCAGTCACTGTGTCAGTCCCATGACACCAGATGGCAGGACCCACACACCAGCTAGAAGTGGAGCCCAGCCTGCGGCTCCAGGCATCACATGAGAACTGATGGTGCTTCTGGCTCAGGGTCACGCGTGGGCCACGATCAGGTTTAATTTGTTACCCCTTTTCCTGAGGTGCCTGAACTCTGGTCTGATGTTCGGGAGCCCGAACTCGCTCCCGTGTTGGGTGGGGTCCCTGACATGGGAGTTGGAGGAGCCAGCATCGAGCTGGTGCCTGTCCATGAGGCCACCCAGCCCTGGGAAACTGACTTCTGGTGACAAGCAGCTTTGTCTCCAGGCTTGTGCCCCAGCAGGCGCTTAGTGTCAGGCTCTGCGGAAGCCCCCCCCAAATCTGCCCTGGCGGAGTCTCCAGGGCCCGCCTCCCACCCCCACTCGCCCAGTTGTGCCTCCCTCAGCGCGAGCTTCTGGGTTCAAGGAGTGCTGTGGGCCGGGGTTCTGCCCCCTCAGTGTGTTCCTGAGTTTGTGCGGCCTCCCCTTGTGGGCCGGTTACCCTCAGCCCCGCCCCCACCCCCACCCCCCC